GGCAATAAGCAAGAGTTTGTAGATCTATGCAATGCCATCACCGTCACCGGGGTCATTCCCGATTTTATCACCATTGACGGTGCTGAAGGCGGCACCGGCGCTGCGCCCCTGGAGTTTACCGACCATATAGGTATGCCCCTTCATGATGCGCTGGCCTTTGTATCGCAGACCCTGGAAATATTTGGCTTGAAGAAACAGATCAGGATCATAGCCGGTGGTAAGATCATTACTGCATTTGATATACTGAAGGTACTGGCACTGGGAGCAGATGCCTGTTATAGTGCGCGCGGCATGATGCTTTCAATGGGTTGTATCCAGGCATTGAAATGCAATAGCGGACATTGCCCGGTGGGTATCGCCACACAGAACCCATCGCTTTATAAGGGGCTTAATGTAACCGATAAAAAAGTGCGGGTTGCCAGCTTTCATAAAAATACGCTGAAGGCCACACTTGAAATGATGGAAGCCTGTGGATTCCGCCAATTAGCCGACATCCGGCCAGCAAGTTTTTACAGGAAGATAGACTTATCTCACACCCTGAATTTCCAGGACATCTACTTCAAGCCTATTGACGAACGGCTTGGCGATAGCTGGTCTAAAGCCAGTATGTTAAACTAAAATGTACATTTTATGACAACGACCAATGAACAAAACCAGGTAATTATTACCGAAGAAGATTATAACATGATCCGCCCTTATATAGGCGGTCAGCAAGGCAAGCCCAATGAGATGTCGCTGGCTCATGAGCTGAGCAGGGCTACTATTGTAAAAAGAGCATTATTACCCGCCTACACCGTAAAGCTCAACTCAAAAGTGTCGATCCTGGATATAGAAACCCAGAAGGTCAAGGAATTTATTATTGTAATGCCGGAACTGGCAGATATGCAACAGAACAAGATTTCGGTACTTACGCCGATGGGCACGGCCCTGATCGGTTTTAAAAAAGGAGAAGAAGTAGTATGGCAGGTGCCAGCCGGGCTAAAACGGTTCCGGATTCTGGATGTGAGCTATTTAAAATAAAGATTGCAACTCATAAAAAAAGCGGAGCCATACAGGATGATGCGATGGGCATTCCTGTATGGTTTTCCGCAGGAGCTGACAGGGGCTTAAAAAAAAGATTTTTTATAGAACATCCGGCTGCATTTACGACACCTGAATTTATAAATGTCAATAATAACATTGACCATTTTAAGAAAGGCATTTCTCTTAGGCCTGGAAATATTATTGGAGCCACAATTCGGGCAACGATGTGAAATAGCTGGCATAATTATTAGTTATTAGCTGACTAGTACAATAGAAATATAAACTATTTTCCTGCAAAATACGCTGATATTTACTGCCTTCATACAGGAAAAACACCCTTTTTTTTAAAATTCCATCAAATAATATTGCCTCAAATCACCAGTGAATGGAAACGCGCTCCAATATTTATAAACGAGTGAGCAGCGGCATACATTAAATTATTATCACTTTAAACAAAAGAATATCTGTCAAATAATCAAAGCGTTTTTTTTACAGATAGAGTCACTAGTGAAAAAATGATGCCAAACTATTTGAAAAACATTTTTTTATGAAAAATTTATTTTCAGGAACCTATTGTGTTCAAAGCCCGCCCTTCCTTACCTCAGATTAAAATATTTACAATTCAAATAAATATGTTGTATTAAAACCGGGCCAGCCCATTTATTATTCCGGCAAACCAACGGTAGCTATCAGCAATTGATTCTTGGCTCAGGATGTTTTTTCCTATCATCAAACGTGTTTTTTCACGTGAGAAATGATTTCAATGGCAGCTATTCTTGCCTTATGAATCGTAAACTCTTGTGTCCTATTCCGGTTTCATCTAATTGTTCAGTTCCCTACCCTATAATAAGTCGACACACTTCAGATAAAATATTAGTTTTATAAAACTAAAACCGGTTATAACCTTTTATGAAAAAATGCGCCGTTATTATAGGTGTCAATAAAACCGGGGGACTCCCCGAACTCTTTGCGGCGGTAAAAGGGGCTAATGATTTTAAAAACTGGGCTGAAAAGCAGGGCTTTGAAACGGTATTGCTAACAGATGAAGACGGCAAAAAGGTAACGGTAAAAGAGATCACCAATGCGGTAAAAGGATTTGTAGACAAGCAGACCTATTCGCAGATGGTCGTTTTCTTCTCCGGGCACGGCATCCTTAAAAGCGCGACGGATGAACAATGGCTGCTATCGGAAGCACCTACCTATGCCAATGAAACCGTCAGTGTACTGGCATCCCGTATGCTGGCCCGCCGAAGCGGCATCCCGCATATCATATTTATATC